TGAGACATCGTGGGATGTAAGATGGTTTAGTTTATTGAAGTGTATTGTAGTATATTGTAGTTTATTGATATTAAAATGTAGGGGGCATTGGGATATTCTGGTTATGTAGTTAAGATATGGAACAGATTTGCGCGTCAAACTCCGGTCAGACCTTGTACCGTCATCCGTGCGCCACGCATCCATTATTACAAAAACTCAAATACAATTATCACGGTTCGCCTTGACATCTAAAATATTTGAGTTGAAAATTTATTACTATAATATCCTATGGACTGGATGTTTGTTATAAAAATCGACACACATCCTAAATAACAGCAAAATAACATTTCTTCAATTCAGAGCTGTTGTGCCGGAATTGTAAAATCAATGCTCCGCTGGATGATTATTATTGCAGAGTTTTACATAACTTCGTCTTCGATTAGAACAAAAAACGCAAGGCGACATCGAAAAAATTCACACGGGCTAGACATCACCGATAGGTGGTTAGGAGTGTATATGCAAAGTTTCGCTGAAATTGGTTCAGTAGTTTGGAAGATATATCGTGGTCGCTGCGTATTTTTGCCCATATGACCATATAAGTTGAGAACTAGTGCAAAATTAAAAAAAAATCATACTGTCTATACATCACCGTTACGTGGTTAGGAGTGCATATGCATTTTTTAAATCGGTACAGTAATTTGTGAGATAATTCGTGGTCGTTGAGTATTTTCGCCAGTATAACAATGTAACTGGAGAACGAGGGTGAAATCGAAAAAAAAAATCACACCGGCTAGACAACACCGTTAAGTCTTAAAAAATACACGTTTAGAGTTTCATTAATATGTGTTCATGAGTTTAGGAAATATTTAATGAACTCTGTGTAGGTGTATAATTATGGAGACCAGCGGAGAACCCGGCCGCAAGTCTGGTCGCAAATCAGGCCGTAAAATTGTCCTAGTAGGTAGGAATCGTCGCAAATTTGTACGTTGCTTGGTTTCCAATGAAAAAATGTGTGTTAAGAACTGAACAAACTACATTCTCGAATTCGCTGACCGTTAACCATTGCCATTGATTACTTGTGTATTTGATTTTATGCAATTTAGTTTAAAAAATGGATGTGATATTTGCTGTGCATCCGCATAAAATGAGCATTTTTATCAAGATCAAAACAACGTAAAAATTTCGATTTTAACATTTATGTTGCTACAAATTTGTTGAACCAGGCCCGGTAAAATTCATTTATTTGTATTGTTTTTTTTTCTGTCAGACGTTTACATCGTTTACTTAACGTGTAGATTCATTTGTGAAAACGTTCGAAATGTTGTGATGCCGCTGCCGGCAATCGGTAGTCCGTAACGAGTGGTCGTGTGCGTGTACACCTAAACAACAACAATACGTCATGTCTCTGTAAATGAAAAAATACTTGTTGGGTTTCGTTCTACTTTTTTCAATTTGTATTTGATCTTTGACTTGTCGAAGGACAATGGCTGCTGGTCCTATTGCAGAACGCAATCAAGGTTAGTAAATACTAAAATAGTGACTAGCCTAACAACGTAACAAGTAGACTAACAATATTGAATATAGGAGGCTAACATCCCACATCAGGTTTCCAAAAATTTTTAAATGTGCCGCAGGCTCCAAATTGCAAATTTGGGAGATGAAAACTTCAACGTTCAATCACTTCAATGTGACTTTCTGATGTGAATTCTTCAATGAAATTTGAAAATAGGCTAATGATCATTTAATCTGTAGAGACTGTAGATAGGTATGTGCAAAAAAAATTTTTTTCCCTTTGATCGTAATGAAAATTACACCACTGAAAAGAGAAAAAAATTTAGAAAATTATCATATAAGTATGAGTGAAGTAGGTTGAAAAATGAAAAAGATATGAATTTTTTCCTTTTTTCAATTTTATTCCAAAAATGGACCAACTTCTGTCACTTTTTTTGGAAAAACTATCATTTGTAGGTTTCCTATGAGCCAATTTCAAAGTTTTTAGTACCATTGGAAAGCTCATGTTGTAGACTATCTATTCTAACTAGAATAAAACATTTTGGTTGAGACTTTGACTGCAGGTGGGTGGGGGAAATGGGTGCAACTGCTAGATATGAATGCTATAACTTAACTTAAAGGCAAAATTGGATGGAATAAATTTCAGTTTCATGGTCTTGGCACCATAATTGAGCTTAAAAATATGAAATTAAATAGAATATGCAAATAAAATTTAGCAGTAATAATAATATTATCAAGTTTTATTAATATTAATTCAAAACTAATTACAATAAATATTAGTAAATACTGATATTAATAACAATATTAAATACTGATCATCATCATCATGTCATGTCTTGTCTCATCTTGTGCCTCGTGCCCTCGTCTCATCTTGTCTCATGCCTCGTCTCATCTCGTCTCGTGCCTCGTCTCATCTCGTCTCGTGCCTCGTCTCATCTCGTCTCGTGCCTCGCCTCATCTCGTCTCGTGCCTCATCACATCTCGTCTCGTGCTTCGTCTCATCTCGTCTCATGCCTCGTCGCATCTCATCTCGTGCTTCATCTCATCTCGTCTCATCTCATCTCGTGTCTCGTCTCGTGCCTCATCTCATCTCGTGTCTCGTCTTGTGCCTCATCTCATCTCGTCTCGTGCCTTGTCTCATCTCGTCTCGTGCCTTGTCTCATCTCGTCTTCGTCTCGTGCCTTGTCTCATCTCGTCTCGTGCCTTGTCTCATCTCGTCTTGTGCCTCGTCTCATCTCGTCTCGTGCCTTGTCTCATCTCGTCTCATGCCTCGTGTCGTGTCTCGTCTCATGTCTCGTCTTGTGTCTTGTCTTGTCTCATTTCGTGTCTCATTTCATCTTGTGTCTCATTGCATGTCTCGTCTCGTCTCATGTCTCATCTCGTGTCTCATCTCCTCGTCTCATGTCCAATCTCACGTCTCGTCTCATGCTTGTCTCCTCATCTCATGCCTTGTCTCATGTCTCGCGTCTCATCTCACATCTCGTCTCATGCCTTGTATCATGTCCAATCTCATATGTCTCGTCTCGTGTCTCATCTCCTCGTCCCATGTCTTGTCTTGCGTCTCATCTCATATCTCGTCTCATGTCTCGTCTCATATATTGTCTCATGCCTCGTCTCATGTACCCTCTCATCAGTCTCATGTCTTGTCTCATCTCATGTCTCAGTCTTGGCAGTAGTTCAGGACCAGCGTACCTCACTGGCTCATGACTGAACTGAACGTAAACAGCGTGACAGGACATGGTAGAAAAACTGTCCGAATGGCTGCAAATCTCTGAAATTTCGAGAGCATGCTCTAAAAACTATAATCTTGATTTCAAATTATCTTTCAATAATTTCAAAATACGATATCCATGTTTATTTCCCGCCCAAATGTTACCTCTTGCACATCCCAGCTAAGCAGGTACTTGATAGACATTTCTCGAAAAAAAAAAAGATGTCCTCATAGTTCAAGTTTTTTTAGTTCGTTTCCAAACAAAAGACAATCAAATTAAGCTAACATTTTGGCTGGACTTTCAAAATTAAATACCTTACGCGCGCCGATGCGGAAAGTGGCTGTCCGCCATTTTGCCAGCATTGTTTACGTTTGAGGGTACTTTGTGCACATACCTACTGTAGAATGTGTAGATTTATTCTAAATAGGCTAGATTCAATGAATTTGTTTAAATTTAAATAATTCATCTGAATTTTTCATGCTAATTGTTTGTTTTTTAGTTTTGTGACTACTAATATTTGTTTTCATTTTTAACTTTTTTTCTAGTTAAAAAAATAACAAGAAAAATTTTTCCCACTGAACTCCACTATGCAGAGGGTGGATGCAGCGTCGGCAATATATGGATTTTTAAGCCCAAAGCGTCGCCGGCCATTTTAAAGATGCGTCGCCGGGTAATTTTTAATGAAAAGCCATTTACGCTGAGTAATGACGAACTATTTACAAGCCACGAACTTATTACAAGGTTGCATGCACATGTTACCCCAAATAACTAATTTTACCCTAAAAACAGTCCGGTTGTACAGCAAGTGTCAACTGAACAAGTAATAAAGCAGTCTGACCGCTCTAATGCAACCGAAACTACGCAATCGAAAAAATGTTGTTTACATTTTTTGCGGGAACTCATCGCAACTGATTTCCGGACAAGCTTTGCTGCATCGTAATCCATCCAACGTACCGGAAACCTTACTTTTTTCTAAATAGTTGGCTGAAGACTGAGAAATATATTAAATGCAAGAATTTCAATCTAAATGTGTCGGCAAGATCTTCTGAAGGCAAAAATTTTGCCGATAATGCGTCGCCGTAGGTCTTTAAATCTTCGTTCACTCTCTGCACAGTGGACTGAACTTTTAAAAATTGAATTTGTACCTACTATTTCAAAAGTAGGCTAGTTCAGTAACTTCAGTGTGATGCTCAAATTTAAATCATACCTACCTATTAGCCATAGTGGCAATTGGCAAACCAGTGATTTTTTAGAATCAGTTCTTTTTTTAATTTCCTCATGTACTCAAGATTTTAACCAATTTCTTATGTATGATAATTCTGGTATCCAAGATACTTTACTGGTCTACTTATAGGACTCAAAAATGAACTTGAGTTGAGGAAGAGTCTAAAAAACTCTCTGCTTTGCCACAATGCCTATTACCTATTTAGGATTTTCTTATCTCAGCTGATCAATGTATAACCTTTTGATGTTGGTGCAGATGCCACCATCTATGTTGGAGGTCTGGATGATAAGGTGTCAGAGACCCTGCTGTGGGAGCTCTTTGTACAGGCCGGCCCTGTGGTCAATGTCCACATGCCAAAAGACCGTGTGACTCAGCAGCATCAAGGATATGGCTTTGTTGAATTTCTGGGTGAAGAAGATGCTGACTACTCAATCAAAATTATGAACATGATTAAAGTAAGTTGACCTATCTATTAAATAGACAATGAGATGAAATTCATTTCAGATAGTCAATATCTTAAAGTTGCATCATATGAAAAATAATTTCAACTACAAAGATCAAAGTATGTCCAAAGTAGATATCCATGTTAGTTTTGCTTGAGAATGTTGCTTGAATGAAATTTTTTTACTAACAATTTCTTGAAGACTTCAGTATAATTGGTAAAGAGATTAGTGCATTAAATGCTGATTCCTGTTACTATATATTAGACTATATATTCCGATATATTAGACTATATATCTATTCCTGTTACTATATATTATAGGTATATATCTTAACTGTTACTCTAAGTCTAAGATATAGTCTAATGGATCATGCATTCTCTCACTCTAGCTTTATGGTAAACCTGTGAGAGTAAACAAAGCCTCAGCTCATCAGAAAAATCTTGATGTTGGTGCCAACATCTTCATAGGGAACTTGGACCCTGAGGTCGATGAGAAACTTCTGTATGATACATTCTCTGCTTTTGGTGTCATTCTTCAGACTCCTAAGGTGAGGGCTCTGTTGTGCTTCATTTAACCCTCAACTGCCTGACATGAGTAACTGGAAAAATATTGTCACATGCCTACTCCCCCAAAAGGATACATTTCTAGTGAGCCTAAATGACTTGCAGTGATGGTTGACACAAATATCCTCAGGTTGCTACAGTCAATAGTTTACATATAATTTATTTTGAAAGTTACTTATGTTCCCTGGGAGTGACATATGGCAGTAGAAGAATAAGTCAGGTTAGATGACCTATTGAGCATTTTTTAAATGTATTTATTTGGATTTGATGCAAATTGAGTTGTATTAATTATACTGGAGAACAAACCAAAATGTGGATACTACAATATGTCTAGCATATTCATAAACTTTTATTTGTTTTCAGATCATGAGGGATCCAGAAACTGGCAATTCTAAAGGCCATGCTTTCATAAATTTTGCATCTTTTGAAGCCAGTGATGCAGCTATTGAAGCCATGAATGGTATGAAACTAATTGTAGTCTACTGCATCATGTGTATTTAAGTTATTTTTCATTCAATCAACACCATAGTTTAAAATTATATCATCAGGAATTCAACCCTGGTTAATTGTTTAGCCTTTTTTGATTTCCATTATTGTACTTTTTTACAAACACAATTTTTAGATCAATATATTAGCAGAGGTGATGCTTGGAATATATTTGAGTAGCCTCATATTTTCACTTCTTGGTTGTTGGTTAATTACATTGCTATGAAATTATAATCTTATTTAATGTACATGTTGACTGTGATGAGTCAAGATTTAGTCAGCTTCTAAATTTATCAACCAATATGCTGACGATATTGTGTGACAAATTTTTCTATCTCAAACCAGAATGGTCAGAGATTCTCTGACTGACCACCAAATTTATCAAGCAATATGCTAATGATATTGTGATTGATGTTACATTCTCTGACCAGAAGATTGGTGTTACAATCTGTGACGAGAATGTTGTACATATCTTGCAGGCCAGTACTTGTGCAACCGTGCCATCAGCATATCTTACGCCTACAAGAAAGACAGCAAGAAGGAGCGTCACGGCACTGCAGCGGAGCGTCTCATCGCCGCACAAAACCCGCTGAGCCAAGCAGACAAACCTCATCAGCTCTTTGCTGATGCTCCACCTCCTCCATCTGCTCCAATCCCTCCCCAGCCTCCCACCCCCTTGAGCATGGGCATGCCTCCCCCTCCTTCCACCCCTGTTTCCATGCCCATGCCTCCCCCTGGAGCACCCCCACCCATGGGTGTTCCTCCTCCAGGCATGGGCCTTCCACCACCTCCTATCCCTCAAAGCCTGGGACCTCCCACGTCCATGCCTCCTCCTCTTCCTCCTATGCCTCCTCCATCGTCACGACCTCCTCCCCTGCCTGGCCAGCCACCTCTCCCACCTCCCCCAACGTCGAGTGCTTCCTCCAACTCGGTTGGGAATTATGGAGCTCCCTATGGCCCCCCTCGACCCCCAGGACCCCCACCATCGTGGCAGCAGCAGCAAGGTGGCTCCGGTCTACCTCCACCCCCACCTGGGATGCCGCCCCCAATGGGAGGCCAACAAATGCCTCCTCCCCCCGGAATGCGGCCTCCACCCCCTGGCTGGCGTCCCCCGCCTCCTGGTCCTCCTCGCCCTCCGTTCGGACGGCCGCCCTTCCCTCCTCGTGGTCAAGTTGGAGGACCTCCCCCACCCCCGCCGCGGATGCTGCCGCCTCGGGGTCCTCCACTTCCTCCTGGACCTCCGGGTCCTCCACCCCCTCCACCTGGCCTCCGCCCTCCTGGCTCTCATGCACCGCCTCCACCTCCAGGCTCTGCTCCCTCCTCCAACCAATCGTCTAACGCTCCCCCTCCACCCCCGGGGATGGGGCCTCCAATGCCTCGCGCTCCGCTTCCTCCTCCGCCGCCCGGTGGTGACAAATAAAAATAATTATATTTTTCATTAGGTTAGGTCGCAGTACGTATAGACATTCGCAAACGGGATGCTAGCATATGCAGTCTTGTGTGGTTTTCTTTATATTTTAGGTGATAAATTTCATGCTACAAATTTTCCTATTTTTATATTAATCTAAAAGTCATGAACTTGTTATTCGATTCACTCTTTACCCATTATTATCCTTATTGAGCTGGCATAACATGATTGGAAAAATTTTGTTGTAGACATTTTCACAAAAAAGGTCGATTAAGAATTTGATGTATAACCTGATTTTTGTAAATCCAAGATGAAATTCATAAAAGTTTTCTAATAAATTGTCATCGGAAGTTTATCTATCGTTTAACTGGTATAATGTGGTTGTCTTTTAGACCGATTTAAAATTAATTTCCACGATATGCGCGGTAATTAGCTCCATCTGCATGGGCACGGTGGCCCAGTGGTTAAAGTTCAGAGTACCAAGATGGGAGCAGAGAGGTGCGGGTTCGATCCCAGCTTTGTGCGCTAGTTTCTAGTCAGAAACTGCATGGAGGCTGGACGGTTAAGCAAAGAAAATTTGAAGCAATGAGCTGCGAGCAAGCCCGCAACTAACAAATGCTTGACATCCGTGAGTGTGTACTTGATGCTTATTGCTGGTGATGTTCTGCAATGGTGAGAATCGGCGGCAGGTCTACGGACTAATAAACGCTGAAATCGCTATATTATTATACATTGAGGCCGGCATTTTTGCTTGAGCGGTTGGAACTAATGACTAGGCAAGCATAGAGACAGTTCGGGCATATCCAACGAGGAGGGCAGTAAATTTGAGTCGGAATACCATCTTAAGTGTCGGAATACCATCTTAAGTTTATTGGAGGTTCTTTTGTACTTAACGTTCCCCTCTGACTAGACTGGATTCTGAAAATTAGCCGATGCAGAATAAAAATTAATGTACCGTTTCTCTTTCGATCTGGATACTCTGATTACAATTCATGATAATCATCAGACAATCTCATGTTGCATCCGTGGGCTCCCAACTTTACAGTACAGGTAGTTATGATGCTTTTTGTGAGCCTAATAACAAAATATAATTAAAAATTCTCTGGAGTAAAATTATACGAATTTCTATTGCATTGATTTAGGATTTTAGGTGTATTGTAAAATAGTAATACCTTACTTGCAGCACTCCGACGTGATCACGCTCAGCTGTAACTGTGGTCCAAACGCCCCCTACGCTAGTACGGTAATTCAATTCCGGAAATCGCATCCAGGTTTTTATGGTGAAAGTGAGTGATCATTCGATTAGCCTGGTCCCACACATTCCGTGACAGTCAGACAGCGTGACTGATATTTGTGCAGCTGTATTTGATAAAAAAAAATTTGAAATGGATGAGTACGAAAGTGTGCTTCTTGTGAAGCAAGAGGTTTTTGTTTATCGCATTCCACCGAGGACAACCAATCGAGGCTACAGGTAATTAAAGTAGGAAATAAATGTATATTGCTTAACTTATATAGCTAATTTATGTAAAATGTGCTAAATTGTTAAAAAGTGACAATAACAAGTCTATAAGTATTGACCAAAATTTTCGTGATTATTCTTAATATTCTATGAGAGAAGTTTTGAGCAATCAATCTGTTCTTGTTAAGAAGATGTAGCCTTGTAGGTACTGTCAATTTCACAAAAGTTGCCAATTTACAGACAAATTTGGATTATTGTGCAACAGTGCACAGGCAGAATTTTACTAAAATCAATGGTGAATAAAATGAAGGATAATATGTGAAAGGATTCTTTTTTGTCTGCAATTTTAGGAAACTTTTGCCCAAATTTATAGTGGCATTGGAGAACATAGCTAGCCTATATATATTTTTTTTGGCCCATCAAGTTCATTTTAGAGTTGAATAAGTAGGCTAGTGAGGAAAACATCTACTCACTGATGTATGAAAACTCTGAACCATGACTGGATATTTTAAGCTGTAATTTTTTGGATTTTTTAGCTGTAAGTCCATTTCTTTGAGCCATGAGTACCTTGTCCCAGCTGACCCAGCCGGGCAGCCGCAGCCGGTGGTCATGAAAAGCCATTTGTATGCCGCACTCATTTGCAAAGTCCTATGCACGTGTTACCCCAAGGCCCAAGCCCAAATCTCTAATTTTACCATAGAAACAGCAATATAAATATTTGTATTTACTTTAGTTTAGAGGCAACTCAGCAACTGAAAACATTTTGGGTTTACTCAATACTGACATTAGTCATTATCCAGGATTTCCTATTTTGGTGGGAGCATGGTACTGAACTGCAAAACTTGAAAATTTTGTGAAATGACACATTTGTGAACTGCAATTTCTTCAATCAAACAAAAACACATTACATTAGATGATTAGAGCTGCAAGATTTCATTCCTATTGAAATTTTATGATATTAGAGCTGCTATATTTTAGAAAAAAGTAGGACTTTTACCAACTAGTAGCAGGGTTGGTGATTTTTTTTATTTAAAAAAAAAATAAAAACAAAAATCAATGATTTTTCAATTTTTTATGATTTTTTTTATTTATTTGATTTTTTTATTTTTTCAACTTTTTTGCCTTTTTGAAGTGTTATTTTTTATGTCACAATTAGCCTACTAACAATAACAGTATATGGATCATAATGGATGGCTAAAAAGGGCACTTATTGCCTTCAATAATGGCCAACAGGCCAAGGTGGTGTTTACCACTTAGGGATTTTTGGGTAAACAATTATTGGTAAGTCTATTCATTAGCTTTGTAAAGTTTGTATGGAGCAAGGTAATGAGCTAAATATTGACCATTTAACTGGCTTCAATATACAAAAACACTTCAGGAATGCAGACCTTCTAAACATTGAAGAGTCACATAACAGATAGGTAGCTGATAGCACAGTGCACAGCACTATCAATAGATCTACTAGTTTTATGTCCTATAAATCTACCAGACTCTACCCTCTATACACACCGACTAGTAGTGACTGAGTGACTGACTGCACTGTTCCCATTTAATTCAAACCAATAAACCAATACTAAACATAAACTGAATAATAACCAAACGAACCTCATACGACTTGAAATGAGACTTAAGTTATTAGAAAATCTAATACTGTTTGAAATAAACATGTGCACAATTCAAATATTTTATATCCATTCACTGCATTTAATTATTTTATACATAGTCTTATAATTGCAATTGTTTTGTTTCTAATTTTAAATTCGCATATCTAAAGATTAAAATTAAATATTTTGATTAGAATACTCGTATTAGGGTGGAAAATCTTTTTAATTGCCTAAAAGGTCAATACAGTCTCAACCTCTCAATATACAGGGTGGGGGAGAACCAATTGAGCAGTTTTGAGGTAAAATAAAAGAGTAATGGAGGTACATGGAGAAGAAAGTTTATTTTCCTAGAGGTTAGCATAACATACCATTTAGAATACTTATGTTTTGAAAACAATATCAGGAAGATGGGGTTTGTTAGCTGCAACACACTGTTCAAGTCATTCTCGGAAGTTTTCTACAGCACGTTCACACATATGGCAAGGTATGGCCATAACCTCTGCTGCAATAATCCGTTCCCTTAGCTGTGGTAGGGTGCGAGGGCGACTTCTGAACACCTTCACTTCTAGATGTCCCCAAAGAAAGAAATCGCAAATGCTCAACTCAGGTGACCTCACAGGCTACTGTAAATCATCCCTCAGAGTCTGGGAACATGCGTTTCAAAACATTGAGTGACATTCGGGCTGTGTGAGCTGTAGCCCCATCCTGCTGGAACCACACGGCTCCCAATGCTTCGATTTCAACGAAGTTTTCCATCATGGGCTGCAAGAAATTTTGCAACATTGCAGTACAGGTAGCGATCGGAATTCACTGTTACGGTTACTCCCTCCTCTGAGAACAACTCCAACAGTGTGATGCAGCTAACAAAACCCATCTTCCTGATATTGTTTTCAAAACATAAGTATTTTAAATGGTATGTTATGCTAATCTTGAGGAAAATAAACTTTCTTCTTTATGTAGGGCACCTCCTTTACTCTTTTATTTTGCCTCAAAACTGTTCAATCAGTTCTGCCCCACCCTGTATAAGCTAGCTAACACATTTAAATTGTATATTGTAATCAATATATAACAATTAGTCAAATAGGGTACTACTTATAGCCTTATAAGAATTAGCTAAGAATAAGATTAGCTGCATTAGCTAAGCTTTACAATGTATTGCACACTTGATGCCTCTGTACCAAAATCATTCAATTTATTGGAACCTAATCACACTGAAGGCAACAAGTTTATATACCAATTTGTCATTCATAGTACATTTATAGTAAACCATGAATAACAATACCTCAATATAAATTAAAGACTCCCACTCAATATATTTAAATTTATCAAAAAATAAAAAAAAAATTATAAAATCATGATTTTTTTATAAAAAATCAAGTGATTTAATCACATGATTTAATCATTTTGATTTAATCATTGCCAACCCTGATTCAGACAGTGACCATTTATTGACAAAAAATTTTTTGATGATCAATTGAACTGTATCCACTGTATTTGTAATGAACTAAAACCTCATTCTAGAGCTGCAGACTGGGATTTGGGAACACCTGATTGGACTGGAAGAATGCGCTTGGTCTCACGTGGCAAAGAATGCATCATGAAGCTAGAAGACAAAGTCAGCGGTCAAATGTTTGCTAAGTGTGTTGTGGACAAATATCCTGGTGGAGCCATTGAAGCTGTCACAGATTCTTCACGTTACTTTGTTGTCAGAATATTGGATGAACAAGGTAACTAAGATTGCCCTATAACATAACCTGTTCCCTCTTGCAAGAGGTATGGAAAATAGAGAGTTATTTCAGTTCAATATGTGAACTCTCAATATTTCATCATGCATGTTTTTAATTAATTGATAGTTCATGGATAGTAAAAAATTTGTTTCTAGGGAATGATACAGGATGCATAAACTTTGGTGATAAATTAGTTTTCAGTCAGGGTCTTATCATGGAGAAATTTTTCCTGAAGTGGCTGATTATTATTTCAGTAACTAGCATGGATTTAGGAGACAGCTTTAAAAATAATTATAAGCCATGTAAGAAAGTAAGATTTTTTGAGGCAAATTACATTGTATTGATTTCATAATTTGCATGAGTTGATATAAAAACCAAAAACTGCATTTGAAGCTTCTTTTATTGAAACATGTGGGCACTATCAAGAGTTGCTTGCTCAAATTAATCAAAGTAAAGGTACCTGCAAACCTGTATGCTGCTCTGTAGGTTTGCATGTCAAATGTGAGCAATTCAGCGCAAATTACATGCTTACTAAAACCAATTCTCCATGTATCCAGCAAGAAATACTGCTGTAGTTTCATTAACTGTTTTATCGATTTCACCAGTGGTTAGTAGAATTTTTAATCTTGTTTATAAATATAGTCAAACTGTGAGTATGTAATGTGAATCAACATTTTAGAAAAATACATATTAATACAATATATAATTCATTTCAGGACGCTCAGCCTACATTGGCCTTGGTTTTGGTGATCGGTCAGACAGCTTTGATTTGAATGTTGCCCTCCAAGACCACTTCAAATGGATAAAAGTGGAGGCAGAAGCTGAGAAGCCTGAAGCTGCTCCCTCTCTTGACCTTGGCTTCAAAGAAGGAGAGACCATCAAAATTAATATGAAAATTACAGTAAGACCCTAATTTATGGCCCTTCTATAAGACTTTGTCTGTTGCCCCAAATTTTATAAGCTCTCTCAATTAAAATACAGCAATTGGTGATACGTAGCTTCTAGATTAATCCAATTGTGGTTTGAATCAAATTGCATTTCAAAAAAGGTTATCTTTCTGCTTGAAAACATGGGATTGATATGTTAATCTTTGTGAGATCTCTGTCGATTTTAATATGTTTAAATGAATGAAATGTTACTGCAGTGTTTATATTCAATTACAATTGATGATACTCAAGTACGGTATGTAGTTCTTGCCTTGGCACATTGTTAGCCCAGTGTTTGGGACATCTGACATGAAATTCTCAACGTCTTTTCAAACACAGGCTTTTACCTAAAAAGTGGTAGAGATTAATTTGCAGCAGTTTAGTTATCAGTTCCTTGCAAGGTCACTTGGATAAAGATTGGTTGATTTTAGAATGAGGAATTTCAGACTCCTTACAGCAACATGAGGATTAAAACTAGTCCATGTGGTGACTTACTATTGAGAAATGTTAACTAATTTCACAACAACACAATTTGAGGAAAATTAACCGAGTCAACTACGTATGCAGAGGTGCTGTACTTGAATGATGCAATTGCTCTCCAGTTTATGGACAGATATTTAAATACGGTATTGTTGATCCGTTCACAAACTTGGATGTGTCCCATGAGGCAGTATGTCAACACAAACGAATTCTCCTGTTGGCATCTATCAAAATTAGATGTTTCTGCAAGTCTTCTTTTGGTTGTAACACCTGCCACAATTGTTCAAATTGCACGGATTTGTGAATATGTTAACCATCTTTTACTGTCTAACAAAGTCAATGACTCGGACCGCTCTAATGTGTAATAATGTTCTTAAATCCTCAGTGTGGCAGTTATGAGCTTTAGCCTTATTACTACCATTGTTATTTTCTAATATCATCACAGCTCATCAATAGTGATAAGGCTTGGTTTCCGCGAAAATTATGGCGTAAAAAGGTCAAACAGTTTGATCGTGAATTGCTGAACTCTGAATATTGTCAACCAACTGGTTGTAGTGAGGCAAAATTTTCTTGACACAACTCGGCCAAAACCTATTTGATTGTCAACCGAGGTTCCTTTACAGATATGAATCTCAAAAGAAAATTTAAAAAATGTTGACAGCAAACTGACTTTCAATGCTTTTGTTTTGCAGAAAAAAGAAGGTCAGGATGGCGATGCGAAGTCACGGCCAAAAGCCAAGAACGATGGAGGCCTTGGGCTTCTACCTCCCCCTCCTGGAGGTGTGAAACTTGCTCCTCCGCCAGCTGCACCTGCTGCGGCCGAGCCCCCCAGCCAAACGGGGGGCGACTCGTGGGGTGACTTCGTCGGTTCTTCAGAAGCTCCTGCCGCGGCGGCCTCTTCGAAGCCAGTCACGGGAGCTCCTGCCGCCGGCTGGGTTACCTTCTAATAAGAATATAAGCATTGCCTGCAGTCCTTCCCTCAACTTGTTACAGACTTACATTGCCAAATATGACTCATGCGGGCACCAACGGCCAAATTAGCTAGAAAATTATGCGGAAATGTTCGTGTCTGTGACGAGGGTGTGGACGTGAACTCGGGAGCGGATGACCGGAATAAGTTGTAGCTCAGCGAGCTCCTCACGTTCGGTTGTCCTAACCACCAGAGGGGGTCCTGCTTCAAGTTCTAATGCTGAATTGAAATGAATCAAGTTTTTTATTTCTTTATTTGCTCTCTTTGCTAATTTTTTTGCTGATTTTCATTCTATTTGTACTCGACTAAAATGTTTTATTCGACAGTTAATTCAAGTTTGCTTACTTCTTAATCTCCATCTTACGATTATCGACGGCTGTGGCCAAAATTGTTTCCGATTGTTGAAAGATCTACCCTCTTGCTTTCTTGAACACATATTGGCAGCATAATGTATGTTTCTCGTTTAAAGATCTTTCCTTTCTCATTTAATTCCTAAATTACTTGAAAGGCTCAGAATGTTAATTAAAAAATTCTTACGAACATTGCGGAAAATTAAAAGCTCTCTCATTTCCAGCATGTCGTCTTAATACCGGAGGCCTAAATTTGTCTTCATTATTAAATTCAACTCAGCTGATCTCAAATTGTTCTTTCCTGAATAGAAATTATTTTTGGTGTTCCAGCTCTTTACCTTTTGTGGTTTAAGTCCTTTAACCAAAATTGAGAAAAAATTCTTGCATGATTCTCTGATCAGAAACTTGACTTAGATCGCAGAAAACGTGGCCACTCATATCTTAAATTGTTTTTTATTGTATGCCAATAGATATCTTCGAGAAAAATTTGTTTATTTATCTCATTCATTGCAAATATGAAAACTCACTACAAATCCTCTCCCAATTTTGATGTGATTATTTAATCACCCATATTGGACGGTTGGTCAATGTATACCAAGTTATGTTATTTAATATACATTTTTATGTAATTTCTACCGATCGTACGAATTAATGTTATCGTTTCCAAGAGATGCTTATTCCTCTATGGTTGCGTGATTATCGCATGGCTGCGTTATCAGTATTAGTGTTTGTTGTGAATCTTTCACCCTGAAAATTTATTTTCTCGACTCTGAATGAAAATTGTATTTATCTTCCCGTACAAACAGCCGAACGACTGTTGCCATGTTGCTTGGGCTGTAAGCAGGCATTTAGAAGTGTTCCGTAATGTGTTCAATTTAATGTGATCCACGGACTTAGCTGTGTATTCATTTGCGTCCCTTGTTTTCTTATAAAATTTGGTGTCATTATTTGCGCATGCATCTTGCTGAAAACTACCGAGATCACTGGCACTAATTACTTAAATTAATCTTCAGTTTACATGAATGACTAACTCAGGATCTTGGTTGCTGTTCGACCCTACCGCTCGCGACCGCACCACGGCTCATGTACAAGTCGCGCTGTGTCGATAGCATACATGGAGCTTTGTGTTCCATCAAGTCTAAGCTACAACGATTTATGTACTTCATTAGTTGTTTGCAGTCATGGTACTCGTCGACATTGTTTACTTTATGCCTTAGCTGCTGTAATAGCCGTGCTATCCAGGAGTTGTAGGCACATCAATAGCCGTTCGGTAGGTAGTTGAGTGAAGTTCTAGTGAATTAAACAGTTTATTGTCCTATAATATCATATCTAGTGGGAATGTCGCGGAAAATACTGTTTGTGTTCATTGTAAGAAAATTATCATGTTGAGTCAAGATGGTCGGCAAAGTAACTCAATGCGCGTGTGTTTGCCGTCGTTCTGATTAGTAACAGCCTGGCATATAATATATACTATATATAAACCATATAATATTATAATCTCAAGTAGTTTTTTACTTCTCCACTCTATTTCACGCGAAAAATGTGACTGGTAGCAATGTATATTTTACGAGGTATCTTGACTTTGATTGTTCAGCGGTTGAAAATTTGCTTGTATTTAAAAAGCCCAAATCGAGTTTGATGACATCCTGAGGTACTACACATCTATTCGACCACGTCGACCTTACAGTGTACTACTACAACAAAATTTTTTTAGTTTTACTTGTGATTAGATTATACATTTGTACTATTTTATATTATATTAATATGCAGTCAATGCTACAAAATATTGAATGTTGTGTAACAGTGCATCAGTTGGAGTTTAAATCTCTATTTTCGCTCGCGTCATATCATAAGGCTAGGTAAATCAATATTGGTTCAGTGGTTCTAAAGTTGCCTGAAATGTTCCAGGACTTCGCCGCCAACATGATACATTCCGATGTACCTGTCTTGGATGAGGTTGTCTGTCCAATGGCGAAATTACGGATGTCCTTCTGATCTTCTCCCCTGTTCGGTGCATATTTGCAATAACGTCTTGATAAGCGTGACCTTTCTCTGTATGGATACTAATTCGTTCAAAGTGGGATCAAATATGTGCAAAAACTTCAATTCAATCGAATGAATTGCGTAATATTTTTAATTTTCTTTGAATAAGTTATTTATGTACTTCTCGTGATGAGGAATCCTTGTCCGCATCTTTGAAGCCCCTATGGTGGCTTAGACTTTAATTTGCCTGACATGAAATTCTTGGTGGTCAAGAAGATTGAAGTTAACTTCTCTTTCAGCTATTACTTCACTTTTCTTCGCTCGGTGGGGTTCCACTGTAGAGAATCCAGCTTAATAAGAAAGGTTTAGTGCACGCCTGCAACAAGCATCTGTTTGGCAAAATGAGTTTCGTAGATGTCAGAAAATCACGCCCTACTTCAGTAGGTAATCGCGTAGCATTTAAGTAGAGCAAGCGTAGCTCGGTACTAGTATGGCATAGTTCAAAGTGTTATTTGAGAGTGAAATATCAGTTGGTAAGTGTTGAAGAAATATTATAAGGTTTACTGGGATTATGAGTATGTTATTGTTCGCTGCAACTTCTCTAAGATAAAATTTTAAACGTGTTCTTAATGTTGCAACTCTTGAACTATAAAGAAATTATTTCAAATCGACCGTTGTTCTCTTTATCATTCTGGAGCATTTAAACTTCGCGAAGGGCGACTATGCTGAACTCCGTGAAGCAGTGAATTTTTGGACTGCAATAAGTAAGGACATCATGGACATGACAGTGGCCGACTCATGGTCATCTCTCAAGGACATAATTATGTTTGCAGTTGATGTGTCTCTATTCTCAAAGACTTCACTTTACGCTACAGCCGCTCATGCTGGACACTGTCAGAGTGTCAGTGTCAAATGCCTTGGCAAAATCAAGGTACACTGCATCCACTGGCTCCTTTCGTCCAGCAGGCGAGTCCTATAATTCAGAGTAGACAAGAGGTTAGTGGTGCAGGATTTGCCGGCAATAAAGTCATGTTGACAGTCTGAGTGGACATTATTAACCAATAAGCGATCCCTCACATCAGTTTCCATTACCTTAAAAACCAAACTTGTCAAACTGACAGGGCGATAGTTGCCCGAACAGCTGTTGTCACCTTTTTTGAACAATGGTGTCACTTGAGCTTCTTTCCAGTCAGCCGGCAAGATCCCTTCGTTCAAGGTTTAAAAAAAAAAAAATAGCCAATGAGTGCGTTAGGACTGTTGCGAACTCATTGTCCACGCGACTTGTTGGGATTCAGAGCGACCAGGAACTTGAGAACCTCTTCTTTGTGTATTTCAAAACCTGTTAACTTCGAGCCGACTGGGCGCTGGAATACTGTTCCCGGGCTGAATTACCGTTCAAGTCCTCATCTTTGAACACACTGCTAAAAAACTAACGTTAGCCAGGCCCTCGTAAGAGGATGTATTTCGTTGATCTACTTTTAGATCACTAGATCAGAGATACAATCATTTGTCTTTCACTTCGGGTTAGTTCCTCATTTTAGGCAATATCCTTCTCAGATTATTTCACTACAGTACGATAATCAAGTGATAACGAGAAAACTTCAGAAAATGTAATATTTTCAGTCTTTCGGGAGGACAATAAAAATATGAAAGCGTGAAATCTATATGCAAAAGATTTTAAACTTGTGTCATTTGGAGAAGATACTGGCAGCGGTAGAAATTAAAATCTAGTAAGTTAGTGATAAGATTTTGTTGACGAATTTAAAGGTCTATGGGCGGACCGGATAAGAAAATTATATGACCCTTTGCTTCAAGTCCATAACTCTGTTCGAAAATGGCTCTGTTATCCAGTTTCTTTTGGGAGGGAGGGACAAATCAGACTGCGAGTTGTGGCACCATATTCAATTAGCATTCTTCACCGTTATATATGTTTATTTACTTCTCTGCCGTATATCAAAATTTCTAGTTTTTGCCCTAGACGACTTCAAAATTATCTTCAGATATTCTGATTCGATGGGTATTCTAGAAACTGGCTCGAATAACCACTGCACTCTTTATCACTGCACTGGAATAACCGTTGCATATTATCGCTGCAAGGCTTCAACGCACGAAATCAATCTTTCATTAGAAATAATTTAGATATTTCCATTTAACCGTATTGATATGTTTACTTGACAAATGAAACCGTCATACATTTTGAACTCATCAGATTCATACTGTTTTCATTTCATTAATTTTTATTCGGTTAGTGGGGGTGTTGGACTTCAGGTGCATTATTGATTTTTGGCCATAGCAACAAATAAATAAAATATAACAAGCACAAGAGTGGCAATAGCAACTGTTATTTCAGCAAGGTTGTATTCTGTAGCTGATGGAGAAGCCCGCGTTGCCACCATCGTTGAGTACTGTATCTGCATGGTTGGTTTCTGTCTCGTCTGTGACAACGTAGAGTACGAAAGGCTGCACCTGGCCTGTCAAGATGAATACAATTGTGAATTAGTTTATCATAATGTTTCTATAGAACCATGATTCTCTGCACTCGTCTCTAGAATTGAAATCAAAATTGAAATTTAATTTTTACTCTATGCTGGGAATATCCTCACTCTCTCAGCTATTTTAAACGGAGATCCGATTTTCCCCAGTTTCCGGTCTAAATTGCTACTTACTTTCAACTTTGCTCGGGAAGTTTACGCCGCAGTAGCGATCAGAGGTGATGGCGGGGTAGGATACGTCAGTTATGATCCCATTTGGAATAATCAAGTAATCCGTTGTGCAGTCTGTACTGCCAACTGATCCGATTGTTCCTACAAATTGAAAATCAAGAAACTTAGCCTTAATGATCACTGTTGTGCATAAAGACATAATATCCTATAAACACGTGATAAAATTAACATTTTATGGCAGGCAAGCACATATTTTAAGATTGCATTACCAAGCATCATAACTTACTAGATATGAATATATTCGTTCAGATCCAGAAAAAGGAATTAAATTTAATCTATTTTATAAGGCGGTGTCTTTTGTAAATAATTTCTTTTCTCTGTGCCTACTTTTCGCCTAATATACTTGCCTATGGGCCGTGCAGCCGGATCACCACTCAAGGAGAAGCTGTAGTCATTGGTCACCCCTGATGTTTTTCTGTAAGCGATGCTGCAGAAGCCAGACTGCGACTTAATGCAAACGCTGTAAGTCTGGTTTGCCAGCTGCGTGGTGGCTACATCCGAAGAAAACGTTCAGGAATTTTATATTGAATTTTATCTTTAGTATCATTATTACCATCAGGAATTTACATACTAATTATTTTATTCTTGTTCCGTCGTGCAGATACATTTAGTTTTTTGGGAATTGAGTTCGTATTCGTTCTTATTCAGTGGTCAATCAATTCGATTATCATATTATACTCCGACGAATTGTTGGTCTTTAAAACTAACAAATCTATTTCGTTTTTTCATCATATAACAAGTCTAACTTTTCATAACCAAATAAATAGGCAGCAACACTTTTCAGGCAGCAAGAATTTTTGAAATTTTCCATATATTCAAATAGTAAGTTGAAAAATTTGTTTATTCAATTAGTTACCCATAGGTGCAGTGTTGATCAAATCAGGGTTTGCGTCGTACGGGGAGTTGAAGCTTTTTATGGTTCCGAATGTGTTGGTGAAGTACTGAAGGCATCCTGCCGGAGCTGACAAGTGAGAAGAAGTGAAATAAATGAATATGTGGATCATGCAATAAAAAATGTTTGCAATATTTTTGGTATGGAGTGATTCACTTCTCGAAAATCCATAATTTTAGATGTATCATGAAAGCGAAAATTTGCACATGATCGGTTCACAAAACTCGTCTCCAGATTTGATAACATGACGAAATCATGAACGACTCGTATCGTAATTAGGTAAAGTTTCATATTGATAGAATTTTTTTCGCGATGCGTTTCCCTAACATAGTTATGTATGCACCCGTGAACATTCACAGAATTTAAAATAATGAATAATAAATATGAATAAAAGAAGAGTTATATATATTGATACCTCTGTTCACTGCGTTGCACTTTATTTGTGTGACGGATATGTTCCACTTGGCACCCGCTGTTGAGGTGTGAACGGTGATATTGACACTCCTACTGCCAGGGATCACGTCCATGTATACTAAAAATTAGACAATACATATTAAATAACGCAACCAATATACGCAGCTAATAGCCCTGTGTATAAGCGCCTTTAAAGGTACACAACTTTTACACGTTATTGCATTCAATAGGCAATTTAATCGTTAAAAAATACTTCATTCATAATATTTCTGTAAAATGGCAATCCAAATGATAGTTTAAGTAGAACAATATTCGACTTACGATGCTGGCCAGAATTGTTTCCGCAAATTAGTGGGATATTCGTTACTCCTCCAGTCACTTGTAGGAAATCCTGTTCACACACTCCTTCTCTATTGGGCTGAGCTAGCGAGAAATCTATAAAATCCAGGCGAATCTGACAGATATTCTTGTTGACAAGATAAACTTTGAGTTTGCAGGCACATATAGGAGTGGTTGTGACTGATGGATATTCAGGGTTTTGGAACAGCGTTCCGTTGATGTTCGTTGACGATTCACAACTGCGCGTAACTGTAAAGTCACATTGCGAATAATATATTTAAATTCTGCACAGTTATTACTCTGTAATTTACAACTCAACTTTATCGTTGTTACTGCTACAATCAGCGTATCTCTCATAGTTTTCAATCGAGAAACTTGGCTCCTACATTCTCTCTATACTTTTAACAGGTTCTATCGGAAGAATGTACATGGCCAAATCGATATACTTCACTATATTGTATTGTTACTGCCTCCCACATGCATTCATGTTTGAAAAACCAATGAGATAAAGACAAAACTTCTCACTAGTTCCAGAAATTTCTACCAACTTTTACTTAACAATATATTTTTAACAATTTTTAACAATGACAGCATAAACTTTGAGTCTACATGCATCAGGCGCAACGGTGGTGTCAAATGATCGTCAAGATTCTTGAACGCAGTTCCAAATTTGCAAATTTGACGTTCGTTGACGACTCACAGTTGCGCTTAACACAAGTCCAATATCAAATAAAACATTCAATGACTGGAACATTGTGTCATGATCCAAAAATGTTCACAATAAGCTCTTCCTAGGAATGGATCGTTAACGACTTTTACCCTTTGATTTAACACTTGTGTCAAAGTTGGAATAACTCTGTCAGAACTCTGGTTCTGTCTCTGTCAGATCCAGAGGATCTAGTAATCGATTGAAGAAGAACCTGAGGGGTTTTGGTTCGTTTATAATTGATCGAATAACATATTAAATATTCATTGGCCAGGGAAGGATAATAACAAGACGTGTATCTAAGCGTAAGTATTAAAGATAGGTTCACGGGATACACTAGATAGAAGTTACAGGATCAAAGCACAGTATGTGCAGTAATTTTGGAGATAGAGTGTAACGACACTGCGTGTTGGTATGAGTGCCGGAGTCTAAGACGACGTGAGTATTTTCCAGGACTTACTTTTATATTCAGAATAATGAATTCACTGTGTGGGGTACACAGTGAATTAATAGAGATAGATATTATATCATAACCAGTCTTTATTATATGTTGGTAATTCGAGCTTAGCCAGCCATTTTTAGCGCATTTTCTCATTCATGGAAAAAAGGCGCTATTGTGCTCGTCTGATCGTCATGTCCGTCTGTCTGTCCGTCCGTGACTTCACGTTTTCGTCGACGAGAAAATGAGCTCTCTGTCACTCACTGCAGTGAGCAATAAGTTATATTTTTTATGATGTGTGTGCCTGGATTTCGATTAAACGTTATATATCCAGATAACTTAGTTCGTAAGCTGTATATGTATGCAAAAGCAATAGTTTTAAATAATTTTAACCACTTTTCACGTTAGTTTAGCTGTTGTAACGACGAGATAGTAGTAATAGTGTACAGAATATTTTTAAAAGAGACATGTTGAAGGATTGATTCGGGCCACGTATTCGGTAGCCCGAATTGATTATTCAGGTTATTACTACATAGTGTTTATACGCATGTAAAGAAAGTCCTACAGCGTTACGAAAGAATAGATAATTTAATAATAAGAATAATAAAATTTCTCTAGCCCAAGCTACCAAGTTGAAAATTTGATGAGACTTCTTAATACGAGTAAGGAAAGTAATGAAAGTCTTCAGCAGTTGATTGAAGATAATTCCAGATGAATGAAAATGTTAATAAAATGACCAATAATTAAACTGGTTGATTTAGTTCACATGTTAAGACTCACGTTGAGGAGAGCTGTTCAGACCGTCAATTTGATGCGGCCGTTCCAGGTCTTCGATCGTCGCCGGCGTCGCTGGCCCTAACGCAGCCAGCAGCGCCCAGCAGGCGATAACACGTGAGTAACACATCATACGGGGCATCTGCGCTGTAGAATATAATACTTTACATGGTTTATTTCATACTTTACATGTTTTATTTCATACGTTACATGTTTTATTTCATACGTTACATGTTTTATTTCATATTTTACATGTTATATTTCATACTTTACATGTTATATTTCATACTTTACATGGTTTATTTCATACTTTACATGTTATATTTCATACTTTACATCTTCTATTTCATACTTTACATCTTTTATTTCATACTTTACATGTTATATTTCATACTTTACCTGTTTTATTTCAGACTTTACATGTTTTATTTCAGACTTTACATCTTTTATTTCATACTTTACATGTTTTATTTCATACTTTACATGTTTTATTTCATACTTTACATGGATTGCTTTTTTTTCGCGAAATTAACGTGCTGAAAGAGTGTGTATTCATTTTGCCTGAACATTAAGCTTAGATATAAAACTTGAGCTGTACTGTCATTTAAGGAAGAAAAAATTCAGGCCATGCATTTTTGGGAGATCATACACGGCCGTGCATGGGTAAGAAGAAATACATTCACTTAACTCAATAGTTCTCCAAGACTTCATTGATAGTGAATCGCCGGCCGGATATATCATTCAAATTAACGAACCATTACCCATGATGGGGCATAATTGAAGTTCATTAACGTATTGAACAATGGTTTTGATCATTGGAAAGAAAACCTGAGCCATGATTATGACTCACGCGACTTGACTTTTATCGTGACTTTATTTTAACTCTGTACATTCGCTGTTGAACCAAAGACTATTCTTTTTTTCGCCTGGCGGATATAAATCGATAATTCTGATACCCCACGAACTTATTAACTAATCCTCCCGAACTATACCTAATCTTCCCTAACTATTATTATGAGTTAGGTAATATCATAATAAAGAGTTCAGATTAAAATCATCTCCCATTTACATGCACATTTCCCTCACACGAGTAAAGCCCCACGCACCTGAACAAGAAGCTGCTGGAGTGCGTGTGGCTGGACGCTGCGGTGGCCGCCACTTTTATGCCCGCCACACGCGCCACAAATTCCATGTAGACCTATGACTTCATTAACATTTTAATGCCCTTTAAATTATATTCTTTAATCTTCAATAACTTTTTGTCGGATATAAGGGCGCTATAGATTTAATATTCAAAATTTTCCTCCATATTCTTCGTAGAGCTTGCGCTCAATGGCGCATTTGACGTAATTTGCATTTCACGTTGAGGTCGCGTCACGGCCATTCATGTGGGTCGTTCTGACCCATTCATGGGACACTTGGTGCTGTGGGGCACCTGAGAGGTCGATGCCTTTTACTGACCTTTGAAAGTTAATTGATAGAAATATTAGTGAAGTGATCATTGTGGACACCTTGATAATTAAATTAGCTAAAAACAAGCTATCATTTGATAGATGGAAAGTGAAATAATAATTAAGTAGATGGAATATATTGCGGGTAGGAAAACAACAAGTTATATCAAAATTTTCAAGTCTAAATAAATAATAGACTATGGTGGGCATTTTTAATTTATAACACATACTATGGTCGGATTTCCAATACGGTTCAGAAATGGAAAATTTCACTACGCAGCTTCTATTAAGAAAGATGCAAGTCATCATAAATAAACGTTATTTGTTCTTCATTCGATGTTAAGCACTTAATTGGCCGTGAGATTGTCTCTAAGAAGCTGCGAGTTTGCGACTTCATTTCTCCAACGAAATGTTATAATTTCAATGAATTCTTATTTAAAAGTAAATATTTTTATTATCATGTAATATTCAATGCATGAACTTCATTTCAATTAATTTCGTGGTTATTCTATTGCTTTATAACTTTTCACCCTACTAGCACAATCCATAACAAGACTATTGTCAACTGTCATAAAAGCTTTTTTTCTAAACTATTGCGGTGCTTCTAACGATTTTGTATTCGATATGAAATCAAGAATAATTTACATCGGTCCCGCCCTAGCTGTCTCAAGATTATTGTAGACATCTTATAACACAAGATTATTTCTTATTTTCTTTGATTATTTCCCCCCCTACATTCACATTAAGAGTAGAAACAACTCAGAACCACTCACTCAGCACCACACACTCAGCACCACACACTCAGCAGCACACATTCAGCAGCACACACTCAGCGCCACACACTCAGCACCACACACTCAGCACCACACACTCAGCACCACACACTCAGCGCCACACACTCAGCACCACACACTCAGCACCACACACTCAGCACCACACACTCAGCACCACACACTCTGCACCACACTCAGCACCACACACTCAGCACCACAGTGCAAATGTTTGCCTGTGTGATATTGTAGTGACTCGAATTATATCTCGCACTAGTATTTCTCTCGAATCTCATGATTAATTTTATTAAACCTTTAAACTCATGATTATCGACCTATATGTAACAATATATTACTTAATTATCTTGATCTCGATTACTTACTTCGGATTTCATCAATTTCATTATTAAACCGTTATAAAAATATCCAGTCAGTTAATCATAAATTTTTGAGCACGAAAAACACTTGTGGCATCCTCTTCTTCAATATCTTGTGGCGCGTCTCTGTAGCGTAGAAGTCTCTGCTCGCTGGTGCGTTATTCTGAAGTGACGCTGATAATTTGATTTAAATTAACTTTCTCTCTAGAACTCTCATCTCGGACTGTCTAATTATTTGTATTGTTAATGCAATTATGTTCAAATTTACCTTTCACTAAAGGGGATTTTCTGTGTGATGGGATAACGGGTTAACATACAGAGATAAATTCTATACTTATTTTTATCGCTATTGAATTTATCACTTCTACTAATTCATTGCCCTTTTAAATATGCTCTTACATGAAATTTTTTCTGTAGATAATCGAACATTTTCGTTTTAGATGAGTGGTTCAAATAAATAATTTTACCTAACCAATAAACCCAATAAAAAAATTACATGCAGAGACAGTGATTCCATAACCGATCATTTCTATCTCACTGGACTAGCCATCCTTCAGTCGAGTGCTGCAGAGAAGAGTAAAACATGCCTACACACTGCCAAGTGCAGTCACTCCGACATACCCATCATGCTGGAGTGTGTGGCACAGTACCACACACTTCATACGCAGCACCACACACTGATAATAGTATCAGTATGTATGATAATAATATGATAATAATAACAATAATGATAAATATATTAGTAATATGAAGTTGTGGGCGCCGCATGGATGATGTACGCGAGACAAGAGGCCTGCCGACGGTCGACTAGGCTTACTGGTCAACTGCCCTAAAAACACAAAAATGAATTTAAAACATTTATCCTGGTAGTTTGCTGAAACATTTACTTATTAGCTGCCAAATAACAGAAAAAGGCTTTTGCTGTTGCAATGGTTCATACATATAACTAATAATACTTTTAGATTTCTTAAGTTCTTAGCTATTATTATTGATTTGTTTAGTCTGCAAATACATGCATATGATATAAATTACAATTAATTTTTATGATTTAAACTAAATGAATTACATCACTTAATGAATAGTTTTCTACTCACTGAACTGTCGATTGATCTAATCTTGATCTTGATCCTCAATATCACAAGATTTAACCCGTAATCGATCAGATCACAAAAGATCGACTTGCACGAATTTCTACAATTAACTTCGAAAGTTCAATAAAAGACACCCGCGCCCCAGGCGTCCCAGTGCCCTAGGTGTCCTCATGAATGGGTCAGAGTGACCCACATGAATGGCCCAATGTCCCCATGAATGGATCAGATTGACCCACGTCATTGACCCAGTGTCCCCATGAATTGATCAGATTGACCCAAGTCAATGGCCCAGTGTCCCCATGAATGGGTCAGAGTGACCCACGTCATGGCTCAGTGTCCTCATGAATGGGTCAGAGTGACCCACACGAATGGCCCAGTGTCCTCATGAATGGGTCAGAGTGACCCACATGAATGGCCCAGTGTCCCCATGAATGAATCAGATTGACCCAAGTCAATGGCCCAGTATCCCCATGAATGGGTCAGAGTGACCCACGTCAATGGCTCAGTGTCCCCAAGAATGGGTTAGATTGTCGCGTATATAAAATAAATATTAACGCGAAGGGATAAAAATGGAAAACTTCTCATCAACTCAGATTATTTCCCGGGAAGTTGGAAACAGAACTGACGCTCTGATTCAAACTGAACGCGGCCTGTGTAGTTGGAACACGCCCCAGCCGTTTCGCGCCCACATTCCGGTATAATAATGTGCCATTAGCGTAAAATAATACAATTGTACTTAAAACCCTTTTAGTTGACATCCAGTAGGAGCGAGAACATTTATTTTATGAGATTAGCTAGCCTGTGTCGGGCAACTTGATGTGAGTAAACAAAATTTTTGACCAGGGTGTAATTTTACGTCTAAATGTAATGACGCGAAAGGAGGCCAGTTTTTTTCTCAAGCCGACCTGAGGCCAGTATAACACCTGAGATTACTAGCATTAGTAGCCTATTTTAAGAAACTGAATTTGCCTTTAGGGCCTATGATTTGAATTACCCTAAGCAGTCAGCTACCACCAATGGTGCATTGGATTTTGCTTTATTTGCTGATGTTGGCATTGAGAATATTTCAGCTCACGTTTATTCTTGTTAAGACTGGTCTTTCATGTCTTTATGTCCAGGGTTTCAAGCGACGAGAATTATTGAACCAATTGATTCTTGAACCAAGCTGTGGAATGCTCACTCTTCTTAGATTCGAGTTGTGGGAAAATTTTAATTTTCTTCACAATCAATTTTTATTCGAAAATGAAATAACAAACCATGTCCCTTGAACTTTCTTAGGATGACCGTTTTATATTGTACTTCCATTTGTATTTGATGTTATTTGAACTATTTCTATTTGAATTCTGAATGTGCAGGATTTTTTACGTGGCAAGAGGTTAGTAAAAAATAAAGCGAAGTATCGTCTTTTGGACCCTTTTACTGTCTTCGGATCCATGATTAGGCGGATATTGCGATACAGCAGTTGAAGTATCAGGATATTCCGCGACACAGATTGACCCACGTGCCACGTCAATGCCAAGTGTCCCATGAATGGGTCAGGGTGACCCACGTCAATGCCAAGTGTCCCATGAATGGGTCAGATTGACCCACGTCAATGGCCGTGACGCGACCTCAACGCGAAATGCAAATTACGTCAAATGCGCCATTGAGCGCAAGCTCTACGAAGAATATGAAGGGAACTTTTGAATAATAAATCTATAGCGCCCTTATATCCGACAAAAATTTATTGAAGATAAAAGAATATAATTTAAAGGGCATTAAAATGTTAATGAAGTCATAGGCCTAAATGGAATTTGTGGCGCGTGTGGCGGGCATAAAAGTGGCGGCCACCGCAGCGTCCAGCCACACGCACTCCAGCAGCTTCTTGTTCAGGTGAGTGGCTTGGCTTTACTCGTGTGAGGGAAATGTGCATGTAAATGGGAGATGATTTTAACTTGAACTTTTTATTATGAAATTATCGAACTCGTATGTTCTAGATTACACTTATCTGACAATAATTACTCTCATGACTTTATCATTATATATTATTAAAAAATAAACCAGAATTTATATTGACAGAAATGATATTTATTTGCTCAAAGTTCTTTCCAGGAAGCCGAGATGAAGTCGTCGGTGCTGTGCTTCTTGCTGCTGGTAGCTGCGGCTGACAGCGTTGTGTCAGCCGATGACAGGACGGACAAGGTTAGCTCCTGTTTATTACTACTCATCAATTAAATATGTATATGTTACTTAACTGTGTGTTCTGTATATACCAATGCGGTTCATGGCCATTGCCGCCCCGTGTCTCGTGCCGCAAAGACTTCACAAATGGCCTTAGTGTTATATTTTCCTCAGCAATGAACTAAACATTTAGTGAAATTTAAATAAAACATAGAAGATAAGTTAAGCATTTCATGCCTCATATGTCGTTCTCTTATGAACATTTGGTGT